GTAATTTTATTATTTTAACTCTTAAATATTTCTTAAATTTGACATCCCAGACCCCACAAAAGTCTGTGTCTGTAAAATATCAGTTACTGGATGATAATAGTTGAAGCTAATGTTATGTTTTCTCAGAGTTATTGTGCGAACTTCGGGGCGACTGTGGCCTCTGTGCACAGCCCTCTGGAGTACAACCACTTCCAGTACATGATCGGCAGAGCGGGCCTCTCCACCGCCTGGATCGGAGGATACCACTTTGAAGTAAGACTTATACCGGTGTCGGGTTCTTTTCAGATGAGGAAGTACATATTACAACTTCTCATATTAATTCAATTATTCAATTTTACAAAGTTCTGCTTAGAGACAGAAGTTAAAAAGAAAATTGTTTACCAGTTTGTCAGCTGTATACAATATATCATCTGTCTACAGTGCTCTGCCAATATCCACCAGACAAATATTTTCATTCACAGAAGAAAAAAAAATCTCTAGTATAGAACCTTCACCTTTTTGCCTGTTCTTGGACTCGTACTTGAGGAGTTTATAAAAGTAAATGTGTTGTTTCAGTACATCTGGAGGTGGCACGACGGCTCTCTCTTCGACTATCAGAACTTCATGAGCGGAGGATCCAGTTCTACTAACAAGTGTCTGAGGATGAACACACTCGGTGAGTTCACACAGTAACTGTTCTGAGCCTAAACTCAGAGTTTGAATGTTCTGTTGTTGATAATAATGTTGTTGTTGTTTGCAGTGGGACAAGGATGGTACAGCTCTCACTGCAACAACGCCATCCCCTCCATCTGTCAGATCAAAGTCCACTGCTGAACAGAGACCTTTACCTGAAGGGATTTGCATCAAGTCTTCTTCACAGATCGACTGTTTGTTGAATTGTGTTTTAAAAAGTCTTTAAAGATGCTACTGCTTTGAAAATAAACCATAAAAACTAAACTTTGTGTGTTTTGTTCAGTTCAATTAAATTTTGTGTGTGTATAATAAATCACAAAAGCAGTCGTCTTGCAGGACTTTACAAAGTCGCCAACAGCAGAGAATCAAACAGTTCAAGCACAGGAAATACAATAATCACAAACACATTGGAGCCATTGGTCCAGAAGGAGAGGGAGGACCACTGTCAACAAATGATTGTATATGTTTCCAGATCACCACTGTCCTTAGACCCAACAACTGAAAACACCAGAGGGAAAAAGTAAGGAACCTTGTGGACCATAAGAGGGATCCGCTCCCACAGACAGGCTGTAGACCCAGGACTGAGGCTGTAGACCCAGGACTGAGGCTGTAGATCCAGGACTGAGGCTGTAGATCCAGGACTGAGGCTGTAGATCCAGGACTGAGGCTGTAGATCCAGGACTGAGGCTGTAGATCCAGGACTGAGGCTGTAGATCCAGGACTGAGGCTTTAGATCCAGGACTGAGGCTGTAGACCCAGGACTGAGGCTGTAGATCCAGGACTGAGGCTGTAGATCCAGGACTGAGGCTGTAGATCCAGGACTGAGGCTCTAGATGCAGGACTGAGGCTGTAGATCCAGGACTGAGGCTGTAGATCCAGGACTGAGGCTGTAGATCCAGGACTGAGGCTCTAGATGCAGGACTGAGGCTGCATATCCAGGACTGAGGCTGTAGATCCAGGACTGAGGCGTAGATCCAGGACTGAGGCTGTAGATCCAGGACTGAGGCTGTAGACCCAGGACTGAGGCTGTAGACCCAGGACTGAGGCTGTAGACCCAGGACTGAGGCTGTAGACCCAGGACTGAGGCGTAGATCCAGGACTGAGACTGTAGACCCAGGACTGAGGCTGTAGATCCAGGACTGAGGCGTAGATCCAGGACTGAGGCTGTAGACCCAGGACAGAGGCTGTAGACCCAGGACTGAGGCTGTAGATCCAGGACTGAGGCTGTAGATCCAGGACTGAGGCTGTAGATCCAGGACTGAGGCTGTAGATCCAGGACTGAGGCTGTAGATCCAGGACTGAGGCTGTAGACCCAGGACTGAGGCTGTAGATCCAGGACTGAGGCTGTAGATCCAGGACTGAGGCTGTAGATCCAGGACTGAGGCTGTAGATCCAGGACTGAGGCTGTAGATCCAGGACTGAGGCTGTAGACCCAGGACTGAGGCTGTAGACCCAGGACTGAGGCTGTAGATCCAGGACTGAGGCTGTAGATCCAGAACAGAGGCTGTAGACCCAGGACTGAGGCGTAGATCCAGGACTGAGACTGTAGACCCAGGACTGAGGCTGTAGATCCAGGACTGAGGCGTAGATCCAGGACTGAGGCTGTAGACCCAGGACAGAGGCTGTAGACCCAGGACTGAGGCTGTAGATCCAGGACTGAGGCTGTAGATCCAGGACTGAGGCTGTAGATCCAGGACTGAGGCTGTAGATCCAGGACTGAGGCTGTAGACCCAGGACTGAGGCGGTAGATCCAGGACTGAGGCTGTAGATCCAGGACTGAGGCTGTAGATCCAGGACTGAGGCTGTAGATCCAGGACTGAGGTTGTGTGTTTGTGTGTGTGTCAGAAGAGGAGGACATGCAGTCAGAAGAGCCATTTTATTGTATTGTATGATTTTACTTATTGTTTTCCACTGTTCTGTGTTTTTGATGTATTTTTGATGCAGTTCAGTTTTGATCATTGTTGTCACAATGAAATCCTGAATTTCCAGCTCAAAGAGACAAGTTGCGGCAGCACAGGCCCCACCCCAGGGTCTAACCCTCTCAGTGGAGGGACTTCACTGGACTCGTGCTGGTTGTCATTTCACTGTTTGTTTAAAATATTCTTCTTTAAAAACATTAGTTCTACTTGTCATAGTGTTTAGTGATTCCATGTATGTTTTTACTATTAATATTTAGCTTTAGACTTTTGATCAGAGAAAAGTACACAAGGAAAAAGCTTGCCTTGACATGTTCTGCAAATGGCAATAAATTGATTCTGCTTCTCTTGTTGGTATCTCTCGACCTCCCCTATGAAATCAAGGCCCCCCTGTTATGTTCCACGTCCCCACAGCCAGATGTGTGGAATCGCTTTATGACCTCTAACTATGAGCCTGGTGACTAGCGGCGGCGCTGCTCATCAGTCACCTCTCGCTTCACATTCCATTTGGGCCGAGAACTGAGCGCGAGTCGTGACTGATGCTACCGTGGGCACCAGCAGATGGTCACAGCAGCTCATGGTAAACAAAAAGTAACGTTACGGTTTTACGTTACTAAATTGTCTACAGTTAACGTGTTACTTTTCCCCGCGTTACACCCAACACTGGTGAGCTCACAGGAGGACTGGGCCGTGTGCTTTCGGGCTGAGGCTGTGGATTTAGGCCCGGAACCAGGCGCTCACACCTCACAGGGCGGTGTCACAGTTATTTTTTTCGAGTAATCCATGGCGGGTTTTGGACTGCGCTTCGTTTGACTCGTCACCTAAGACCTGCTCGCCACGGGAGACCCCAGACAACAGAGCTCCGAGGATCATCTGATTACTCAAACTCCCCTACCACGTTAAGGTTGGAGTCTACGGGGGGACTGACTTTCTATGATTGTTTTTTTTGAGAGATTATATTTACGTTGCACAACACCGTATAAGGTTTGACTATAAAAGCTGTTTTGTTTACTCATGTACTCGTCGATGGCGAGATTCCCAATCAAATCCTGAGCATCTTCCTCATTCCTGCAGTCGCTGTGGTCGATCATGTCAGTGCCATTGACTGACACCAACAAGAGCCTGTACTCTGACACATTTCCTGATTTCCCTGATTGTTAGTATTTTACCTTCTTATGTTTTTGGACCCATAGATTGCTGTAAAAGTTTATGTGCACTCTATTCATATTTTCATATTTTTTACTGAATTAAAACATGTATTAACTACGGCTACATGTGTCTCAGCTCCTACGATCCCTGAGGTCTAGACGTGAACACACCAGAAACATTTTGGCAGGTGTAGCTGTAGTCACATGTTTGCAAATGAACTGCCTTCTGTCGTGACATGAACCAGGAAACACTTTAGAACAGGAGCAGCAGAAGTTCAGGAGAAACGAAACTTACACTGAGACAGAGGAGAGTGTCGCACTAAAGGAATCAAAATACAGACTCTTCTGTTTAAAGGTGAGTATGTTCATGTAATGGGGAACGAGGAAGTCATGATTGTAGGATTTATCGTCTCTCTGCTGTGGTAGTCGTCTGTAGTGTTTTGCATCTCTCAAAACAAGCACCATGGGTAAACAAAACCCTGAAAATGTTCTGAGCACGAGTCTAAACATGTGGTGATGGGTCCTGCACAGTCACTATAGGGTCGAGTGGTAATCAGTGTTTGTTACATTGCTGTCACTGCTGCAAGAAAGAAACTAAGTCATATAACTGGGGTCACATGACTTCCTCTTTAAATAGATGGACCTGGGCCTTTCCCACAAGTTGAAACGTGTCTGTCCGAGTGCATCTAATTTCTTTAAAGTCATTATGTTTCCCTGTCAGAGGAGCACAGGTTTCTAACGGCATCTTCTATAATAAGTTACTATACTTTTGGTTTACTTTGGGTCACAAACAGAACAGAATTATGTTTGTTTGTATGCTTATTTAAAGTCATTTAAATAAAGGTTGACAAATGATTTTTCTGTCACTTGTTCTGTCCAATCCTTCCGCACTTTGGTCGCACTTCTCATTCATTTGTCACTCACAATGAGACGACTAAAGCCACAACCAAGTCGCACTACTGGAAGCACATGCCAGACCTATTGTACATGTTTTTAGTGGCAGGGGAAACCGGAGCATCCGGAGGAAACCTACGCAGACACGGGGAGAACATGCAAACTCCACTCAGAAAAGCCCTGTTTCGACTGGGATTTGAACCCAGGACCTTCTTGCTGAGAAACGAGAGTGCTATCCACCCGGGGATTTGTTTATGTGCTCCCTTCTGTTTTTGCGCCAGAACAAGATGAAATATGTAAATAAGCAAAAGCATTTCCTCTTGTTTTCACCAACACAAAACCAAATGTGTTTGTGTCTCCTGTTGTAGTGATGGCGGCTGCGAGCTCTTCTCTCTGTGAGGAGAAGTTTCTCTGCTCCGTCTGTCTGGAGGTCTTCACTGATCCAGTCACAACACTGTGTGGACACAGCTTCTGCAGCATCTGCATCACCAAACACTGGGACAACATTGACCACTGCATCTGTCCAGTCTGTAAACAGGACTTCAGCTCAAGACCACAGCTGAAAGTTAATTCTATTTTAGCAAGTAAGATCTCTATGTTCAGAAATATGCCTCAAGATGAAGAGACAGTGATGGAGGCTTTGTCCACTGCTCCAGGAGAGAGGATCTGTGATCTGTATGCTACTCCAGGAGAGGTGGTCTGTGACCTGTATGCTGCTCCAGGAGAGGTGGTCTGTGACCTCTGTTCAGTTCCCAGGCTCAGAGCCGTGAAGTCCTGCCTGGTGTGTTTGATGTCGTACTGTGAGAGCCACCTGCGGCCACACCTCACAAACCCCCGTCTGAAGAGGCACCAGCTGATCCAACCTCTGCCCGACCTGGAGGAGCACATCTGCTCTGAGCAAGGGTGGCCCCTGGAGCTCTTCTGTAGGGACCACTCACACTTCATGTGCGAGAGGTGCAGTTATACAGAGGAGACAAAGCATAATACTGACCTATTGAAGGAGCAGGGAGAGGAGCAGCGGGCCACACTGAAGAAACAGATCCAAGAAAGACGTGTGAAGGTCCAGGAGATCCAGCGCTCAGTGAAGCAGAGTCAGAGAAAGGCAGAGGCAGAAATACAAGAAGGTCTCAGAGTCTTTTACAATTTGATGGAGTGTGTTGAACAAAGTGCAGACAGCTTCAAACAGAGCATTGTAGAAAAACACAGAAAGACCAAGAAGGAGGCCGCTCAGCTGATAGAACAGATCCAGAGAGAGATCTGTGAGCTGGAGCAGAGAGGAGCTGAGATGGAGCAGCTGTGGAGCTCTGGACACCACCTACACTTTGTCCAGACCTTCACTACAGTCAAACCTGCTCCACAGCTCAACGACTGGAGCAGGAAGACTGTCAGGATCCCGTCGTACAAGGGGACAGGGGCCCAAGCTGTGTCTGAGCTGAGGAAAGAACTAAACACAGAGATGGAGACATTCTTTAAAGCAGAATTAGAAATAGTACAAGAGTTTGCAGCTAAGTTGTATCTAGATCCAAACACAGCAAATCCACAATTAATCGTGTCTAAAGATCGCAGACAGGTCCATGATTGTGGCCAAAGACAGAATCTCTCAGACAACCCCGAGAGATTCACTTCTATTAGGTGTGTTTTAGGGAAACAAAAGTTCTCATCGGGGAAGTTTTATTTTGAGGTTGCGGTCAAAGGGAAGAGATTTTGGGAAGTGGGAGTGGCCAAAGAGTCAGTGGACCGAGCAGACAAAGGTACTCAAACCGTACAGAAAGGATACTGGACTCTCTGCTTCAGTGGTCATTACCAAACTTCAGACGTTCCTTCTGTAGTTTTCTCGGTGCAGTCGCGTCCAGAGAAGGTTGGAGTGTTTGTGGATTATGATGAAGGCCTGGTCTCCTTCTATGATGTGGATGAGGAGTCTCTTCTTTACTCTTTCACTGACTGTTGCTTCACTGACAACATTCTGCCGCTGTTCATTCCATTCGGCTCTACTCCTCTCGTCCTGACGCCTGTGGGTGTTTAGTTCAACAGCGAAACGTTTGTTCATGACACATCAACCTTCTATTCTACTAACAACGTTTCAACGACAACGTCTCGACCTCTCTCAGGTGTAGTAGTGTCAAGTGGTTACAGTAAGTAAGTATCTATATAGTGCATTTTACAGACCAAGGTCACCCAACGCGCTTTACAATGTTCAGAGTTTAGAGAGTAAGAATGATGAACATGACACCTGACGACATTTTTCAAGTAAGGAAAAAAACGGCAATACCCATAAAAATCCAGAACAACAAATAAGTATTATGGTCAATACATAGAGTCAAAGAGTATAGATGTGTGTGTGTGTGTGTGTGTGTGTGTGTGTGTGTGTGTGTGTGTGTGTGTGTGTGGTCTTCACAAGTGTATGAGAACATGGCGTTATCTTCAGTCCAGGAAACAGAGGTTGCACATAATGTTCTGTCCTTAAGGTCAAAATAATAAAATATTATATTGCATTCTTTGTGTGTGTAATTACTTTTATTTACCTGTCAATGGCCTTAGCATAAATACATCCAGATATTTGTTTAATACAGTACTGTGTTGTTTTAGCGGCCATTTGTATTTTATGTGGAGGGACTATGCTTTATAGACATTGGGCACAACAGTGGGAATAAAATGGATTCCAAAGAAAATGCATGTATCATCTTTCTTTCACTGCAGCGTCTGCCACATTGTGTCGATCCTTTCACCTAAATAACTTCATGTTTGTGGTTGAAAGGTTCATGGAGTAACTATTTACCGCACCAATGACATCTGGGAAGTTTATTGTGTTGTTTTCGTCACGTTTCAGAAGCCGTCGTTAAACTCTTTATCTAAATCATTTCTCATTTATTGTTTTTTATCTCTGACGGGAAAAGCTTTGATTTGGTCTGAAGGTCACAGGAAAAAACCAAAACAATGACTTCAAGTTTATACGACAAAAGGCACAGTTAGAAAAACTACCAAACTAATGTTGGTATTAGTTATAGATTCTCCAATGTATTTATCACATTTACCGATCTGTCGTTAGCCGGTCAAGCTAGCTGGCTAAACTAACATTGGTTGGAATGATGTCAAATATTTTTTTGACCAATGTGCATCGGTTGATGTAAAAACAATTATATTTATCACCTCTAGAAGTTGTATATAGAGCAGGTGTCTCCAAACTGTTTCACCCAGAGAGCTACTTTCCCGGGACGATAAAGGCAGAGAGCTACTCCTTTAAGCGGCCCCGGGAAAAAAGTGGTTATATATTGGTTACGAACTAGCCTGATGGTGGGAACAGTCATTATTTATAATTGCATATTTTTTACTAGTGCACAAAAAATAGCAAGTATATTTTATTTTTCTGGTTCTAAATCGTTAGGCGAGCTATCTGGAAGGGGGTGGCGAGCTACTGGTGGCTCCCGAGCTACAGGTTGGAGATGCCTGATATAGAGTATGTCATTTGTGGCGCCACCTGCAGGTGAAAGCCTGATCCCGTCAGACCATTGAAGCTAAGCAGGTCAGAATACTGATCGGTGATGGGAGACCTCTGGGAACACCAGGTGCAACAGTGTGTGTGTGCGTGTGTGTCTTTGTGTCTGTGTGTGTGTGTGTGTCTGTGTGTGTGTGTGTGTGTGTGTGTGTGTGTGTGTGTGTGTGTGTGTGTGTGTGTGTGTGTGTGTGTGTGTGTGTGTGTGTGTGTGTGTGTGTGTGTGTGTGTGTCAAATAGGTTGCTCATTCTTTTTCCCACCAGGACATTAACATGTTTGGTCATTTGGACCAAATGGCTCCTATGTGTTTGTTATTATAGCATTTTCCAGTGTTGTGTTTGATTTTCTGATCAGTTGTTGATGAACCAACAAGTTCTCCAAGACGACTGCTGTTGCGCTGTAGGGTTTAACACAAATATTTTTAATTGAACCCTATTTTGGTTAATTTGGCGCTATGACCAAATAGATTAGATAAAAACACAACCCTTCATATATTCATTTATCCCAAAAATTGGTTAAAAACAAACATTTGGACACAAAACTACAAACGAGATTGGTCAAAACAACCAAAACATGTTTTTAGAGTGAACTATTTTAAAGGAAGCTAATAAAAGGAACTTTCCTGGTTGAATAAAGATGAAATATAAATCTGTCGCGTTTCAGAAGGATTTCCCAGTTTGCTGTATTGACCTAATTTAAACTGTACTTATTCTAAAACACATGTATTTGAGTAAAAGTTATGCTAGTGTCATGTGGAGGATGCAATGACATGTTTTGCCTTGATGCTAATGTGAGCTTTGAGGATAAGAAAAGAGAATGTTTTAAAAAGCCAGACCTTGAACATTAAGGTCCCAAATAAACACATAAATCATAGACAGAAGACGAAAATCAGTTTGACATTAAAACCAATAAATACATTCTCACAGATAATAAGTTATCAAGTATTCCCGGTTTGGTCATGAAGTATTTATATTTTTAGTATTATCCGGGAAACTATAATAAATGCTTTCAAAATACAACTCATGATTAAAGTCCAAGAGATAAGAGAGAAATTACTGCATCTTGGGAAGTATAAAAGGACCAGGAGAGCTGCACAGCTTCAGAACACTACTACTGCTACTACTACTACTAGTAATACTACTACTACTACTTCTACTTCAACATAAAGAGCACTGTCGAAGTAAGTCCATTTGTTTGTCTATGTTTTAAGTCCAATCCAATATTAGAGTTTGTGTTTGTGTTTTAAGACTTTTTGTGGACTATTTCAATCTATTGAAAGTGGTCAAATGCAGAAATAAAAAACCTTATTTTTTGCCTTGTTTTCTATTACACACACAGACACTTCCAGAATCAGAACCTAACCTGGCTTTTCAGATCTAAAAGCAAAATATATTGAAAAAATATATATATATATTTAAACACATTAGCAGTAAGTAAAGTTTGTGTGGATGTTTCTCACCAATATACATTATTAGCCCAGAACAAGCTGCGATATTTTACAATTGTAAGAAGTCCCCATGGTTTCTTCTCTATGTGATATTTTCCTGCAATATAAATAGTTAAGATTAAGATTAAAGATAATAGTTTGAAAAATAGTGTTTGATGTTTTTCCACAGATTCAAAGATGAAAACAGTGATTTTTCTCCTTTTTGCTGCTGTCGCATTGAGAGCCACAGGTAACACATTCAAACATATTTAATCACTTTTATTCTTTAGTGTTTCGTTTGTAAATAATCTCACTGTGTTTCTGTCTCTGTATTGTTGTCACAGCGGCCCCAGCAGAGGAGGCTCCGATGCAGAAGCCTGAACCAGGTAAATACATCACCCACTTTTAAGTTCTACTATTTACTTTTTAATATCAATATTTTAAACTATACTGGATTAACTGGTCCTTAGTCTATGGAGATCAGTATGTCACACCCTGCTGGGTACATCATTTTCAAACCACAAAAAATGTAATCATGTAATGGAATCCATGTAGCTATAGTTCTTCTCTCTCACAACAATTCGGCTCTATCACAAGATTCACATGTTTGTTCAAAACAGTTTACTTTCACAAGTATCTTTCTGATGGAACTAACATTTATGAAAGAAAAAAATGCGCCACAGCCATGGCTTCTGCAGCAAGACAAAAACAATTTTATTCCAAGTTGATTTATTTGGGAATATACACAGATTTAACTTCATGAATGATTCATTATTCAAGGATTATTTAAAAAAATAAATTGTTCTTGTCTCAGTGGTTCAAGAGGACATGGTTCCAGAGGTGATGGAAGTCAACCAGAAGCCTGAACCAGGTAACTATAGCAACAGAGAGTAGGCTAATGCTAACTATACAATAAATCCTTTTCACTCACTTTTTTCTGCTTCATATAATTAATTAACTTCTACAACTCTTCTCTGTTTATTTTTTTGTTTTGAGAGTTGTTGATATGAAGTTAACACTGTAAACAAAGCTAACATTAAATAACAGCGCTTAGCACATCGTTAGCATAACATTAGCACAACGTTAGCATAACATTAGCACAACGTAAGCATAACATTAGCACAACGTTAGCATAACATTAGCACAACGTTAGCATAACATTAGCACAACGTTAGCATAACATTAGCACAACGTAAGCATAACATTAGCACAACGTTAGCATAACATTAGCACAACGTTAGCATAACATTAGCACAACGTTAGCATAACATTAGCACAACGTTAGCATAACATTAGCATAACGTTAGCATAACATTAGCACAACGTTAGCATAACATTAGCACAACGTTAGCATAACATTAGCACAACGTTAGCATAACATTAGCACAACGTAAGCATAACATTAGCACAACGTTAGCATAACATTAGCACAACGTTAGCATAACATTAGCACAACGTAAGCATAACATTAGCACAACGTAAGCATAACATTAGCACAACGTTAGCATAACATTAGCACAACGTTAGCATAACATTAGCACAACGTAAGCATAACATTAGCACAACGTAAGCATAACATTAGCACAACGTTAGCATAACATTAGCACAACGTTAGCATAACATTAGCATAACGTTAGCATAACATTAGCACAACGTTAGCATAACATTAGCATAACGTTAGCATAAAAGAGATAGAAAGATAGAGAGATGAGAGAAACACAGATAGAGAAAGACATAAATAAATAGACAGAGAGAGATAAACACAGATAGAGATAGAGATAAATAAATAGACAGAGAGAGATAAACACAGATAGAGATAGAGATAAATAAATAGACAGAGAGAGACAAACACAGATAGAGATAGAGATAAATAAATAGACAGAGAGAGAGATAAACACAGATAGAGATAGAGATAAATAAATAGACAGAGAGAGAGATAAACACAGATAGAGATAGAGATAAATAAATAGACAGAGAGAGAGATAAACACAGATAGAGAAACAGAGAGAGCAGTGGAGTAATAGTAGCAGTGGTGGAAGCTGCAGAAACAAATCCATTCATACAAATATTAATAGATACATCATTCTAGCGCGTATGTTTAGCTCAGAAAACATTATTGTGTTATATAAACATTGTAACCATGCATGTATAAAGGACATTATGATTTTTTTATTTCGCAGAAGTTTCAGAGGACCTGGTTCCACTGGGCGCTGAAGGTATAGTCATGTATAAATAATCATGTATTTACCCAAATTGTCACTTTTCTACTCATAGCAATTACCATGATTCTCATATAAGTTTAAAATAAAAACATTCAAATCACATCTTATCATAATTTCTGTTGTTTTATTCACAGTTCACTCTCAGTATTGTTTGCCTGGATGGGATTTTTACCGCGGCAGCTGCTACTTAGTCAACAGGAACTCACACACCTGGAGGAGTGCAGTGGTAAGAAAGTGTATTTAAGTATATGTTTATATTTAACCTTCTAGACCTGCATAAAAAACACTAAAGTACACCACAAGCCTCTTAACTGTAAAACACACACAAATTTAAAGTTATTGGTACCACCTGCATGCGAAAGCCAGTTCCTATCAGACCTATGAATCTAAGCAGGACAGGGCTTGGTTAGCACTGTGATGGGAGACCTCTGGGAACGCCAGGTGCCACAGTGGAGCAGCTACATCTGCCCTTGTGTCCTTAGGCAAGACACTTCACCCACTTTGCCAGTAGCAGTTTCTCACCACCGTGTATGGAGTGAATGAATAACGCCATATGAAGCGTCTCTGATTGGAAAGAAGCTCTCGACAAAACCGATGCATTATTATTTTTATTTATAGTTGAAGTTAATGTTATGTTTTCTCATGTTTTCTCAGAGTTATTGTGCAAACTTTGGGGCAACTCTGGCCTCTGTGCACAGCCCTCTGGAGTACAACCACTTCCAGTACATGATCGGCAGAGCGGGCCTCTCCACCGCCTGGATCGGAGGATACCACTTTGAAGTAAGACTAATTTTTCGATTTAACATTTAAACATTTAAACAAAGTAGAATATATTCAAATTGTCACTCCTTTTTTGGAAACATCCTTAGTGTTCACATGCAAGCTTATGTGGACACTAAAGATAAGAGCAGCTTAAGTGAATCTCAGTCTTGGGTTTGAGTCCTGGTTGTCACAGGGCCCTTCTCAATGTAGTTTGCATGTTCTCCCCATGTTTGCGTCTCTGGGTGCTCCTGTTTTAATACAGTGCTTATGTCACAGGTTTAAAAGTGTCTGTTGAGGGGGTGTGATCAATAAAACAGGAAGAAGATAAAAAGGGGATAAAATATTTAATAAAATATATACAAAAAGGATTGATAAAAGATGATTAAAAAAAACCCCCGCAGTCCACTCGTTTCTCACTGGCCTCTGCTCTTCTCAGTCCCGGGACCGGGCCGCAGTCCCGCCAGCCGCTCGCCGACCACGGGTCGCCACCGGGCACCCGCGGGGGAGAGCCGGCCCATCCCGGTCTTTGGGCCTAGCCCGGGCGCGCACACGCCAATGCGCTATCAATGCACGCCTCACCGGTGCCGCTCTCCCCGCTGGCCTCAGTGCCCCGTGGTCTCTGGCTGGCGGTGCTCGTCCTTGGCCCGGTCCCATGTCCTCCTCCTCTGGACTGGCTCTGCCCTCCTCTCTTCCTCTCTCTGTGTCAGTGGCGGCTGGTGGAATTTTCTACTGGGGGGGCTATGAATATGATGACTAGATATATACCAGCAGGGTAGGGATGCTTTCTGATCCCTACCCTGTAGCTTTCATCCAGCTGGGATGAAATATTTATCTTCCCAAACATAGCTAATTTGAGGGCATTTTGCATGTGGATACCAGTCTGCTCATGCTTCTTTGCCTTTTCTAAAAAGTGCTTCAGATCAGTCATACCTGTCTTGATCCATGCTGGGTCAGATCCTGATGTTTGAAACAAGAGGCATGGAAAGCAAAATAAAGCATTAGCCTCGCTACATGCTGCTAGCCAAGATTTGGCGCTGAACCAGGTCCTGGAAAAAGTACGAGTGTACCGTCTCCCCCTGTCGCCGGACTGCTGACTAATGGTAATATTTGGCTGATCAGGTCCAAGCTCTTTAACCTCAACCTTCTCCTGGTATGATCTTCTCTCAAACGGTATTGTTTTGAGTGATCTAACTGAATTATTCTTTTTCTCGTTCTCCATTTTGCGTCTCTTTACGTTCGTCTCAAACTCCCACAGCTTGACCTGTCAATCACTGTAAACGGACGTCACAGACAGTGACAGTACAGGTCGCGGGCGATCCCGCCCCCTCAGGGCGCACTTCTCCTGCGCCCCCAAATCGTCTTATCTCTTGCATTGAAGAGGAGCTACTGCGCATGTACAACTTTTAACGAGAGTCCATAGACGGCTCAGGGCGCAATCTTTTGCGCCCTGAGGCGGAAATACGTCCTCAGTCCGACACAGACAACGCTGATGAGCTTAATCAATCCAACTCAGCATAAACTATAAAGTATTTCTTCCACATCTGAAATAAAACACACATACATTTCGAAATATTTTAATGTTATTATTTTTTTTAACGTTTTATTCAAGGTAACATGGCAAGTTGTGAGTGGTGGGGCGGCGCCCTAGCGCCCTCTATTGGCCGGCCGCCACTGCTCTGTGTCCTCCCGTCCTCCAGTGCCCGCCCCCAATTAAAAGGTCTTGATTAAAACAGGTGCGGGTTAGGGGAAGTGTCCAGGGAACAATGATAAAATGCATGCATTAAAACCATAAAAACACACAAAACACATCACAAAAATAAAAGCAGTTAAAAGTCCTTTTTAAAAGTCCACTTTCCCACACTTACCAATATCCACCAGCCAACTGCTGTTTGTAGCGACAAATTATACTTTTTCAGTAGAGGAAGTTCTTTGCTTGTCCTTGGACTCGTACTTGAGGAGTTTATAAAAGTAAATGTGTTGTTTCAGTACATCTGGAGGTGGCACGACGGCTCTCTCTTCGACTATCAGAACTTCATGAGCGGAGGATCCAGTTCTACTAACAAGTGTCTGAGGATGAACACACTCGGTGAGTTCACACAGTAACTGTTCTGAGCCTAAACTCAGAGTTTGAATGTTCTGTTGTTGATAATAATGTTGTTGTTGTTGTTTGCAGCGGGACAAGGATGGTACAGCTCTCACTGCAACAACGCCATCCCCTCCATCTGTCAGATCAAAGTCCACTGCTGAACAGAGACGTTTAGAGCTGTTTTAGATCGGCTGTTGACTGGTTGTAAAATGTGTGTGTATTCATTGTAGATTGTTACTGTTTTCCAAATAAAACCATACAAATTTCACTTTGTCTGTTGTTTAAAAGGTCCATGTGATTGATGACATTGGCTTGCTTTTACAGTGAGTCAGGTTCCAACACACTATAGACTTAAAATAGTGTTGTATTCAAGTGGTAAAGCAACTATTCCACAATTCTCATGTTGCATTAGATTAAATCAACTTTTTATAACTCATAAACTGCATAAATATCTTAATTGTAGTGCTCTCTACATATCCTGGGTCATTATTTTGACATTTTAGTGCAAATTAGATAAAATCTCACTTTTGAGCCTGAAAACGTCTGTGTGGCGCCCTCTCTACCTTTTTGGTGGTACTACATTTTAATTTGGTCCTGGCCTCTGCATTGACTCTGGAGTACTGTGTGACGTCATTTGGTTTATGTGACGTGTGTCTGTCTGCGCCAGTGACATAAACCCATCCAACTCTCACACAAGCCCAAGCTGCAGGCTGGAGTATTCTGGCGACATCTAGTGGAATAAAATGAAATTACATAACTTGACAATCACTGCTGCTGAGATAATTGTGTGGATTAGGTTCAGGTGTGTAGCTCTACAATTATTTTAGTGTGTAAACAAGATTGGAATGAGACTTTTTGGTGTAAACTATTGCTTTAGTGGCGGCATACTGTACGTGTGCATACTGCACACGTACAGTATGCCGCATGCGCAAGATGGCGGACGCATTTGTTTGGGGCCTTTTTTGAGTTGCACGTTTTTTTATGATTTATTTTTAAACTAAGTTTCTTTTACTGTTTTTATTTGCCCTGCTCGACGGATTAAGCGGATTTTAACAGACTGTATCAAAAAGGATTACTGTCACTTTTAACTGGACTGTCTATCAGCCTTTCACCGGTAACCAGCCTGCCCACACACATCACCATGGACACCGATGCTCCCCCCGCGAACTCACACAAACAAATATACAAATCACAACTTGCTTCAATCCTCCCATCCAAACCTGTTAACACCATGACCCCCGAGGAACTTCAGCGCACTGTCAAAGAACTATCCACCGAACTCATACATAAAGAGAAACTTCTGGAACATTTCATGGACATATCATTCAAACAGTCACAGCAAATCTCACTCTCCGTACTCAGACACTCACAGCTCCACAACACTGCACTCTGGGATCCAATCGCCTGTCCTCACCCCTCATCATGCTCTACCCCGGTGCTTACCTCACGCTCCCCGGTTGCAGCTGTTCCTCCTGTCCCTCTTGGTGCTCTTCCCTCCTCTTCAGTCCCCGAGCCCGCTGCCCATACCCAGAGCGGCGTGGAGCAGAGGCCTGGAGGCCACACGACATCCACAGCGTCCTCTCGCCGCAGGTTGGTGGAGGAGGCTGTGCGCAGACGCTCGGGGAGCTTCCCACGCTCTAAAACAGCGCGGGGCTCTCCGGGTGTCACGCAGGACCAACTGCGGGAAGCCCCGGGGGGATCTCTGTGCCCCAACGCAGCACCGGATACCCCCGGGAGCGCTGTCCCTGCTGTGGGAGGGTCCGTGTGCTCTGACGCGGAGGGAATCCCCAGAGGCGAGACACAAAGCAGGTCCTACGCTGAGGTGGCCGCGGGGGCACCTCTGCGCCCTGACACGGCGTGGAGTCCTCCCGTAGACGCTGCATCGCTCGCGGGGGGGTCTCTGCGCTTTATCTCAGCGCGGAGCTCCCCCGCGGAGGCTGTCTCGCCTGCTGGAGGACCTCTCTGCCCGGTGCATGGCCCTCCCACCGCTCGCACCACCACCACCACCAACCCCGCTGCAGGGGCGCCGGTTCGGTCTCCGGCTCCCTCCTCCTGCTCCACTGCAGCTCACGGGGCTCGCAGCAGCTCTGCTCCGGGCGCATCCCAACGCTCTCCTGTCCCCTGCTCTCCCCCGGGCCCTACTCCAGTCACACGCCCCCCTCCACGGCCTCTGTTTGCACCAACCACACTCCTGGTGGGAGATTCTATCATCAAACACTGTAAGTTCTTCAATGCCATCACGCACTGCTTTCCCGGAGCCACTGTCCCCACCATCCTCACGAAACTACCCGCACTTCTACAGACAGCACCCCCCACAATAACCCGGATCATAATACATGTTGGTACAAATGATGCTGCACTCCGCCAATCTGAAATCACCAAACTCCATTTTAAGGACCTTTTTAATCTTTTATCAAAAACCGGAAAAAGTGTTTTTATCTCTGGCCCTCTGCCTACGTTGAACCGGGGCGTGGAACGTTTTAGCAGGATATTATCACTCAACACTTGGCTTCAAAACTCATCACAGCAGCACAACTTTGGTTTTATTGACAATTTTAATTTGTTCTGGAACCGCCACCCCTTCTTCACACCCGATGGACTCCATATCAATAAACTCGGCACCCGGTACCTGATTTCAAACATTACCCACTCAGTCCAATCCCGTCCCCCGCACCTCTGACAACCCATCACTCCATCCCACATCATTCCTGCCCCTCTGGACTCCAACATCGGCCCCCCAATGTTTGAATGTAGAATTGACATTCTAAATAACACTCCTCAGTTGGTTTTACCTGCCCCCTGCGATTTTATAGCAAATGATTTTAACAGTAGACTAAGAACTACACTGGATCAGGTTGCTCCATTAAAAATTGTAACCATTCAACAAAAATCTATAGCCCCTTGGAAAAATGAGGAAGCAAGGAGTATGAAAAGAGAGTGCAGAGTGGCAGAGCGAAGGTGGAGGAAAAATAAAACGACAATCAATCACAAAATATATAAAAACCAACAGCAAATTTACAACAACACAATCAGGAAAAACAGGAACAATTACTTTGCAAAACTAATCAGCCAGAACAAAAATAATCCAAAAATCCTCTTTTCAACCATCGACACCATTTTAAACCCTGATTTTAGCATGTCTCTTTTAACCCCCACAGACTCCCTCTGTGAGGATTTTGCAGTCCACTTCATGGGGAAGATAAATACAATCAGATGTAACATTTTATCCAACCGCACTACTGTTTTTAACACATCTGATTGTTTGTCTTCGCCAGAGGAAACACTGGACAGTTTTGTCCTGGTTGATGCTGAGATGCTTGATAAAGTTTTCTCCTCAGTGAGGCCCACCACATGTCTTTTAGATCCAGTCCCCACTCCATTTTTTAAGTCATTTTATGAATCTTTTAGAGAGGAGCTTTTAAACCTGGTGAATTGCTCTCTTCAGACTGGGGTCTTTCCTGCAGCCTTCAAAGCGGCTGTGGTGAGACCCCTTCTGAAGAAGAGCAATTTGGATTTTAATGATTTTAACAACTACAGACCGGTATCCAACTTACCATTTTTAAGCAAAATTTTAGAAAAACTTGTTTTTACCCAGCTCAATGCCTTTTTAGATCAGCAGCAAATTTTAGAGAAATTTCAATCAGGATTTAGGGTAAACCACAGCACAGAGACTGCTCTTATAAAGATTTTAAATGATTTTAGACTAAATTATGATTCTAAAAAGGTGACCGTGTTGGTTCTACTGGATCTTAGCGCTGCCTTTGACACAGTAGACCACACCATTCTTTTATCACGCCTACAACACCTCGGCCTCTCTGGTGCTGTCCACAAATGGTTCACTTCTTATTTAACAGACAGATCCTTCATGGTGAGTTTGGATACCTGCTCCTCTCAGGTCCATGAAATCACATGTGGTGTGCCCCAGGGTTCCATTTTAGGTCCAGTCCTTTTTAACCTGTACATGCCCCCTCTTGGCGGTGTCATCAGGAGACATGGAATTAACTTCCACAGTTATGCAGATGATACACAGCTGTACATCTCCATGTCTCCTGATGACACCAGGCCAATGGATGCTCTTTTTAACTGCATTTTAGACCTGAAATCCTGGATGGCAGAAAACTTTCTCCAGCTTAACCAGGACAAAACTGAGGTTTTAGTCATCGGTCCTGAGGCCCAGAGAGAGAAACTTTTACCGAAACTCCAATCACACTCTTTTAATCCATCATCACAAGTGAGAAATCTGGGCGTAATCTTTGACTCTGAGCTGACTTTTATTCCTCACATCAAGAATATCACAAAAATAGGTTTTTATCATTTAAAGAACATCGCCAGAGTCCGCCCCATTCTCTCTCGGGGCAACACGGAGACGCTGATGCATGCTTTTATCACCAGTCGCATTGACTACTGTAATGCCCTGCTCTCTGGTCTTCCCAAAAAGAACATTTCAGGTTTACAATTACTTAAAAACTCGGCCGCACGTGTCCTGACTAAGACCAGGGGGCGGGACCACATTACACCGGTCTTAGAATCGCTGCATTGGCTCCCCGTGTGTTTCAGGATCAATTTTAAGGTTCTTTTAATGGTTTTTAAATGTCTTAATGGTCTTGGGCCTTCTTATCTTTCAGATTTGCTTTTATCCTATGAACCTTCCCGGCCCCTGCGCTCCTCCGGCAGCAGACTCCTAACCATCCCCAAAGTCAGGACACACACTCACGGCGAGGCATCTTTCCAGCACTACGGCCCCCGTCTCTGGAACAGTCTGCCGGAGGAGCTCAGGGCCGCAGAGAACGTTCATATTTTTAAGAGTAGGCTCAAGACGCACCTTTTTAGAGTAGCTTTTGATTAGTATTTATTATTTATTATTGCTTTTTAGTACATCTATTTATGTTTTTAGACACATTCTATTTGTATTTATTTTTATTATTTACTATTTTTTATTATTTATTGTATCTACCCATTTACTATTGTTATTATTAATATTAGGCAGCTGCCATTTTTCTTTTTATTGTCGCATTTTATTGTTCTACTTTCTATTGTATTATTGTATTGTTTTAGTGTCCCCAGTGTTTCCTCTGGAGGAGCCCTCTGCACTGAGAGCTGGGGTCTGCTGTGGCTTCGGGGATCTGGCTCTTGGATCCGGTGGGGGTCTGGGGCCTCCTCT